GGAGGTGCCTTCCCCCTTTAGGACTCTCCCTTCCTCTTGTCCCTTTGGCGCATGGGCCTCTAGGGGCTAGTGCCCTTGGCCCATGTAGGCCAAGGCGCACCCCCTACAGCCCATGTGGCCCCCGGGGAAGGTGGCCCCACCCGGTGGACCCCCGGGACCCTTCCGGTGGTCCGGGTACAATACCAGTGACCCCGAAACTTGTCCCAATGGCCGAAATAGCACTTCCTATATATAATTCTTTACCTCTGGACCATTCCGGAACTCCTCGTGACGTCCGGGATCTCATTCGGGACTCCGAACAACTTTCGGGTTACCGCATACTAATATCTCTATAACCCTAGTGTCACCGAACCTTAAGTGTGTAGACCCTACGGGTTCGGGAGACATGCAGACATGACCGAGATGACTCTCCGGTCAATAACCAACAGCGGGATCTGGATACCCATGTTAGCTCCCACATGTTCCACGATGATCTCATCGGATGAACCACGATGTCAAGGACTTAATCAATCCCGTATGCAATTCCCTTTGTCTAGCGGTACGATACTTGCCCGAGATTCGATTGTCGGTATCCCGATACCTTGTTCAATCTCGTTACCGGCAAGTCTCTTTACTCGTTCCATAACACATCATCCCGTGATCAACTCCTTGATCACATTGTGCACATTATGATGATGTCCTACCGAGTGGGCCCAGAGATACCTCTCCGTCACACGGAGTGACAAATCCCAGTCTCGATTCGTGCCAACCCAACAGACACTTTCGGAGATACCCGTAGTGTACCTTTATAGCCACCCAGTTACGTTGTGACGTTTGGCACACCCAAAGCACTCCTACGGTATCTGGGAGTTGCACAATCTCATGGTCTAAGGAAATGATACTTGACATTAGAAAAGCTTTAGCATACGAACTACACGATCTAGTGCTATGCTTAGGATTGGGTCTTGTCCATCACATCATTCTCCTAATGATGTGATCCCGTTATCAACGACATCCAATGTCCATGGTCAGGAAACCGTAACCATCTATTGATCAACGAGCTAGTCAACTAGAGGCTTACTAGGGACATGGTGTTGTCTATGTATCCACACATGTATCTGAGTTTCCTATCAATACAATTCTAGCATGGATAATAAACGATTATCATGAACAAGGAAATATAATAATAACTAATTTATTATTGCCTCTAGGGCATATTTCAAACAGATATCACATTAGTGGCTTCATAAAATACCTTTAGTAGCCTGCAAACATATTCGGCATTTTCCCAATCCTCAAAAGATGGCTTGAAGGTATATTGTTTATCTTGAATGGCCAAAGAGTCAAACACTCCGCGATACTCTTTTGCTATATCAATCATCATGTAGGTTGAGTTCCAGCGAGTTGGAACATCAAGACTTGGAGTTCTCCCACATGATACACCATGTTGCTCAACGATTTCTTGAAGTTTTTCCTTTCGACTTGGTGAGCTTCGAATGTATTTCACAGTTTCACATATCATGTTGATCACTGTACCAAGGAAGTTCAATCCTGCTTGACATATCAGATTTATGACATGGGCGGCACAACGTTGGTGAAACAACTTGCCACCACCAGGTAACATCTTCTTAAGCAGGAGATGTGCCTTCAATAGCTTCATCATTGCACCATTATTCGATGCATTGTCTAGCGTCACAGCAAAGAGATTATCTTCAATGTTCCACTCTCTTATGAAATTCACCATGATGTTGAACATTGCAGCTCCTGTGTGCGGCGTCTCCATAGCGGCAAATTTAACTATCCTCTTCTGCTGCTTCCACTCCTCATCAATGAAGTGAGTTGTGATGCAAATGTACCCCACTGTCTGATTTGATGTCCACAGGTCTGTGGTCAAAGAAATCTTGGATTTGGAGTTTTGGAACATCCTTTGCAGAATTCTCTTCTCTTCCTTGAATGCTTTCATGCAGTCCTCCTTCACTGTTTTTCTACATATCATCTTGAAGCTGGGATTTAGACTAGAGACAAATCTTCTAAATCCATCATACTCCACCAATGAGAATGCCAATTCATGCAACACTATCATCCTCATCAGCTCTCGGCGTGCTAATGCCTGATTAAAGGTCCAAAGCCCCATTGCAACTCCATCGGGACTCACGATAGAAGCACTCAGTTGTCCAGAAACTCTAAGAACCTTCTTCCTTTCCCTGCATCTCTTCAAATGTTTGCGCAATGAACTTGTTCCATGTTTACGCTCAGCACAAATATTCCTTGCACAGTGTTTGCACTCAACAGCTACAACTATGTCATCAACACGGATTGGCTCATATTCTTTCCACACTTTAGACAAAAACTTTCTTCCCGGTTCAAAAAATTTTCCCATGTCAATGATCTCAACCTCTCCCTCTTCATCCACATTATCTCCCTCTTGTTCTTCTTCTTCATCATCATCTTCTTCTTCATCATCCTCATTTTCTTCTCCTTCCTCTTCTTCTTCATAGTCAACATCTTCTTCATCAACCTCATCTTCTTCAAAATCAACCATACGAGTGTCTTGTGAACGTCCTGCTGAGCAAAGGACGCAAGTGTTAACATTACAATTACGAGTATTTTTTATTTTAGCAACCATTAATTTGCATCCCTAGAAAAAGAAAGATTAACAATACTCACCATGATAAGCTCTACAAATGTTTATCGAAGAAGGAGACACCCCTCGGGGTGGTTGAGCCCTCTCATTGTCGCACCGGTATCAACGATGAACCACCACTTTGGTATGCCTCATGGTCCCCTTGTTCCTCTTCCATTTTTCTGATCAGAGGGAAATATAGGAACATTAGAGAGCATTAACTTTCAAAATCAACAGCAGATGTAATACACAAATTTCATTTACTTGTACTAGTGCAGGACAACCAAAAAATTTTGTATATGAACTTAATAGAATTTGGTTTGAGAATCCAAACACTTAATAGGATTCGGGGGAAGAAATTTACAAAGCACTGATAATATCTGAACACACGCACGAACATACATCAATGGAGCCATACACTACTAAACCGCCTCATCGGCGAGAAAATTCTACGCATTTATTGATCACAACTACACAAACAAACTTCTATGAATTAGTTATCAGAAGTCGTAACATGTTCCAAATTTGATAAATAGTACTATCACAAACCAATCCGGTCCAGGCATGGTTTTTGTTCTACTTTGACAAGCAAAATAAACAAAGGTACTACCATGATCCCCAAATCTGTTGCTTGCCCTCGGCAAAATGATCCACTATAAAACATTTCCAATCAAATATGATCTAGTTCTTCATGTAATTGTTCATGTACACTGACTGAATGACACTATGACAGGGACCAACACTGTAGAACTACTACAGAACCAACACTGCAAGTAACAGATCCCATGGCTACAGAGTACACTGACTGAAAGTAGCAGAATCAATTACAAGACCGGTGCTTGCATTGCAGACAACACTGACGAATAACCAAAACAAGACCGATGCTTGCATTGCAGCTGCGCTGGGACGGGGAGGAAGCCGGCAAGAGTCTCACCTGCGAGATGATGACGTTGAGGACGGCGACCGGAATGGCGAGGTAGACGGTGGACGGGACCGCAGGTCAGCGAGCTCGACGGCGACCAAAACGACGAACGAGAGGCGGGAGGAATGTCGGTGGCAGCAGGCCCAGCAGAGATGTTCAAGGGCAGCCGGCGGCGACGGCAGATCGACAGAGAAGGTCGGGGGCGGCCGGTAGAGAAGGTCGGGGGAGGCCGAGGGCGGCAGAGATGGCCGGCGACGGCAGAAATCGTCGGGAGCGGCCTGCAGAGATCGTGAGGGGCGGCGGCAGAGATGGACTAGGGCAGCGCAATCAGACGGCTGGGTCGACCCGTCCGGTCCATCGGGTCATGCGGTGCCGGCTCCGCTAACCCGTTTTATGTTTCGAGGCCAACCCACCTGGCCCATTGGCCCCAAGATTTCAGGCCGGGTCAGTGACCCAGCGGGCCGACCCGACCCATTCCCATCTTGAGTGAATGTGGGCATTGAAGTGTTGAAATACCATGGTAGGACAAGGATGTTTGGCAATGAGCTATAGCCTGATTAAAATGCCACGGTGGGTGTTAGTAAGAGTATACAAGTGGATTCCAGTCTCGAGTGGGGAACGACTACCCTCAATTATGCCTGCATCGTCTCGCAGTACTTAGAAAATGCCACAGATGGTACTGAGATTGAATCTTCCCATGAGTAAACATTGAGCTCTCGACGTACTGGAACAGTCGTAGTTGTCCATTTTCAGATATTGAGCACCCAATAAAATTTGAGGTCAATGTATTCAAACACTTCTATTGGAGCATGCTCCTGGTCCAAACAGTTGATCTGACGAATCTGATGTTGATCACTGATGACTAACAGGGTTGCCATATGAGTGAAGAATCAGAATATCCTTACATTGAGTACTTCAATTAGAAATCACGGATTAGTACATTGTGTTGGTTCCCTTGGAGCTTCATTCTTCTACACAAAGGCCGAAATTTGTTATATTTGTCTGGACACCTCCAACAACTAATTCGTAAGACATGAACGAAGAGAATGTAAACAATACTGGGGAACATCAACTTAAGGGAGGAGCACGTCCCAGTCGAGCCAATCGAATTCAGGGGCTACAAAATCTGCACCAAAATACGTATCACCTAGTGGGTGCGGCAAAATATCACCCAGTGGCAAGGCCAAGCGTTCACGGCACAAACAGAAGGAACAAACTTCCGAGAGAAGCATCACATGCGAACAAACTTTGCTCAGGTTTTCATTTCAATCTTAGAAGCATAGCGAACAGAGCGGGGACGGAACAGTAACACGGAACGGTAGCAGCGTCACATCTAACGGTAGCCTGAACATCTCGGAACCTACGCGACGGAGCGAGATCTAGGATACTCGGGAGCGAGCGAGCGATAACATTTTGGTAGACAGGTAAAAACGGATCGGGTAACTAGGATAACTGGCCAGCGAGGGGCCCCACCATTCACTCCCTCCAGTTGCCGCCGCCGGAGCCGCCGCGGCTGCCGCCGTAGCCGCCGCCGCCGCCGCCGTAGCCGCCGCCGCCCTCACGGCTGCCGTAGCCACCGCCGCCGCCGCTGCGGCCACCTCCGTAGCCACCGCCGCCGCCGCCGTAGCCGCCGCCGCCGCCCTCGCGGCGCTGGCCGCCGTAGCCGCCACCGCCTCCGCCGCTGAAGCCGCCGCCGCCTCCGCCGGAGCGGCGGGACTGGGCCTCGTTGACGGTGATGTTGCGGCCGTCCAGGTCCTGGCCGTTCATGGCCTCGATCGCCTGGCGCATCGCCTCGTCCGACGCGAAGGTGACGAACCCGAACCCGCGGGAACGGCCCGTCTCCCTGTCAGTGATGATCTGCACCGCCAAAACACACCAAACCGGTCAGATCTCCACAAGCAAAAAACCACAGATCCATCTCGAATTCACAGATCTATCGGGCGGATCGGGGGAGGGGGACGGTACCTTGGAGTCGATGACGTCGCCGTACTTGGAGAAGGCGTTCTGGAGGGACTGGTCGTCGGTGGCCCAGGCGAGGCCGCCGACGAAGCAGCGGTACTCGACGTCCGCCATTCTTCCTCCTCTTCCCCACTACTAAACCCTAACGAACCGAACCGGGCCGGGAACCGAGGACTGAGTGGGGAGGAGAAGCCAACCCCTGAGAAAGCACGAGGAGTCAAGGTTGCCCTACCCGCGCCTTTTATAGCGCGCGCGGCGCCGCGCGGGCCGTCGTGATCGGATCGGACGGCGCCGCGGGATAAGGATCGGGGGGCGAGATATTTTCGCGCGATGGGCTCGAGGAGTGTTCTGGCTTTCTGGGCCAGCCCACGCACGATTGGGTCGCCCCTGACTCGCTCGCGGGGAGATATTTTCGGACGGGGAGCGTCTAGGGTTTTGGATTCTCGCGCCGCCACCAACCCCGCCCCGATCGGGTCGTGACGCGGCGGGCCTGGTATGGACCAATCACGCGGCACGTCGGCAGATATTTTCGGGCTAGTGCACACTTGGAGTGAAATGCGGTTTTCTTTCTTGATATGTGACACTGATAATTTTTTGCACAAGGCTGCATTGAGGCGCTGTTCGGTAGGAGTAGCTCTCCGCTCTGCGCAGGAGCGAAGCGGCACGCAGTCCATTTTCTACGAGTCGCCCAAGTATATCGCTCTGCGTGCTTCCGGGGCTGGATGACTACCGAACAGGGCCTAATAATAAGTGGTGGAATGAGCAACTTACTTCGGGATCGATAACTTTTTTTAGTTGATTCAGGACCGATAACTATACCTACTCCCCCCGTCTCATAATGTAAGCTGTTTTTTGACACTGGTGTAGTGTCAAAAGAACGTCTTACATTATGGGACGGAGAGAAAAATTGTAAATTGAAACCTCACTTTTACAGAGATGCTACAACAATCAGATGGAGAATATGATCCGGTCCTTCGCATCTTTCATCCGGACGCAAACTCGTCGTCGTCGGGGATGGCACTACTTGAGACGGTGAAGCCTCCATGACACCTCGTCGTAGAGTCCATGGAGAGGATGCATTGTCTTCCTTTTGGTTCTTATGCCCGGGGCAAAGAAGAAAGGGTTGCCATTTGGTTAACGGATTCAACAAAAGTGATGGAGATGGCCGGTAGCCAAGCGTTGTTCTTCGCGCCTTGGGCACTCCCAAACAGTCACCAGAGATGTGTACAAAGCTTTATTGGGATCTTCTACTCCGCCACCCCGACGACCATACAAGACAGGGAACGAGGCATGCTTCTTAGAGAGTTGCAGCAGATGAACGGGCCACGCGGGGATCCCTCGCCTTTTCCCCTCCCGACAATGTGATTGTATGGAGGAAAGGGGTGAGAAATAGCCACAATCCCAGTCCTACACTCCTTTACTTTATTGCCTTGTTTTTTTGTTTTGCTTGGTTGCTTTTTGTTGCTTATTATTTTGCTTTTCTGCATTTTTCAATAATAACATAAAAACACAAAAAAAATGCAGGAAGTGGTATTTTTTTGTTTTAGCTTGTTATCATGTCTAGTTCTTCAATTTCGGCTACTTCTCCTAAGTTAGAAGTCCTTCACTTTAAACAAAGGGGTGGTGAAAGTTTAAAAAACGCTTGGTATACAATTCAGGAACTATCTACTATGGTGCTCATTAGGAATTTGTACATTGGTGCAACTTTATGGAATAGATTCCTGCTTGATATTATAACGGGAGGTAGCTTTTTGAGTAGCAATACTCTTGATGCCTTTAATGCTATAGAAAGTGTATTAGGATCACCACCAAAAAACAACCGATGAATCTAAAGTCACTCTTGAACACCTCGTGAGGAGATTGGATATCATAGAGAATAGTATGACAATTTACATAATGGTGTTACTCCCTCCGATCAAATATTAATTGTCACTTGGATCCATAGTAGGTGAGCTCTTAAGAAAATGAAAAATTTAGAACAAGATTTCAAGCTACAAAAAATAGATCATCAACCCTCAAGAATAGATAAGTTAGAAGAAGTGGTAGACACTTTGCGGACAACTATTGCGTCAATAAAAGTTAATAGGAGTTACACTATAGATAAAAGTTTGGTGTTTATTTATGTTCCTAAGGTACAACAATCTAATTCATCATCTTCTAAGGAGAAGTTGAACTAAAAATGATTAGTGAGCATCCTATTATTAGTCGACTAAAAAGGGAAGCTCCTATTTATAACAAAAAAAATCTTGATTTCATACCTTGAAGTGTTATGATTAGGATAGCATTGTAAGAGAAAAGGGTAACTTTCTCACCGAGGGAACTTTCAGAAAGTGATGATGATAAAACAAGAAGCAATCCTTCATGCCTAGCTAAAAGGCATTAAAAAGCGCTTGTTTGGAGACACCCAAATATTCATCTTCTTGCTTTTTGTGTGTTTACATGATTAATGCTATCGTAGTGATGATGTTTTGTATATTTGATTTCATTAAAGTGCTAGGTTTAGCCTTTACCATGCTTAGTTTGCAAGTTTATGACTTGTTGTTTAAAACGGAAAGTTTCTTGTGATGTCCTGAATATCCCTGGATATTTAAAACATGATAAAAGGCTAAACTGTTGACACTGTAAGAAATTATAAGTTCTCTGTTACGTGGTATTTTTTAGAATTTATAGATTTACAGAAGCATGTTAAGAAATTCCACCTATATAAATTGTATTGTTTAGACATTGTAACGCCCTCGATGCGGCTATATCTCCCACGTGTCGAAGCACGACTTAGAGGCATAACCGCATTGAAAGCAATGTCGCAAGTGAGGTAATCTTCACACAACCCATGTAATATATAAGGGAAAGAGATACATAGTTGGCTTGCAATCGCCACTTCACACAATACATGAATAAAGCATTACATCATCCAGATACAAACAAGGTCCGACTACGGAACCAAAATAAAAGAAGACTACCCCAATGCTACACAGATCCCCGATCGTCCCGACTGGGCTCCACTACTGATCGACTGAAATGAAACAACACAAACGACAAGATCTTCATCGAGCTCCTCCTTGAGCTTGGTTGCGTCATCTGCATGGTTCAACGGCACCTGCAAGCTGGTTTTGGAAGTATCTGTGAGTCACGGGGACTCGCAATCTCACACCCTCGCGATCAAGACTATTTAAGCTTATGGGTAAGGCAAAGGTACAAGGTGGAGTTGCAGCAAGCGACTAGCATATATGGTGGCTAACCTATTCGCAAAAGAGAGCGAGAAGAGAAGGCAAAAGCACGGTCGAGAATCTATGATCAAGAAGTGATCCTAGAGCAACCTACGTCAAGCATAACTCCAACACCGTGTTCACTTCCCGGACTCTGCTGAGAAGAGACCATCACAGTTACGCACGCGGTTGATGTATTTTAATTAAGATCAACTTCAGGTTTTCTACAACCGGACATTAACAAATTCCCATCTGCCCATAATCGCGGGCATGGCTTTCGAAAGTTCAAATCCCTGCAGGGGTGTCGCAACTTAGCCCATCACAAGCTCTCACGGTCAACGAAGAATATTCCTTCTCCCAAGACAATCCGATCAGGCTCGGCATCCAGGTTACAAGACATCCTCGACAATGGTGAAACAAGTCCAACAACACCGCCCGAATGTGCCGACAAATCCCGATAGGAGCTGCACATATCTCGTTCTCAGGGCACACTCAGCTGAGACATCCTACGAGTAAAACCAACCCTCAAGTTATCCCGAGGTGGCCCCGCAGTCTACTCGGTCGGACCAACACTCAGAGGAGCACTGGCCCGGGAGGGTTAAATAAAGATGACCCTTGAGTCTGCAGAACCCAAGGGAAAGAAAAGGCTAGGTGGCGAATGGTAAAACCAATATTGGGCATTGCTGGAGGAGTTTTATTCAAGGCGAACTATCAAGGGGTTCCCATTATAACCCAATCGCGTAAGGAACGCAAAATCTGGGAACATAACACCGATATGACGGAAACTAGGGCGGCAAGAGTGGAACAAAACACCAGGCATAAGGCCGAGCCTTCCATCCTTTACCAAGTATATAGATGCATTAATTAAATAAGAGATATTGTGATATCCCAACAAAATATCCATGTTCCAAACATGGAACAAGCTCCAATCTTCACCTGCAACTAACAACGCTATAAGAGGGGCTGAGCAAAGCGGTAACATAGCCAAACAACGGTTTGCTAGGACAAGGTGGGTTAGAGGCTTGGTTCAACAATATGGGAGGCATGATAAGCAAGTGGTAGGTATCGCGGCATAGGCATAGCAAAAGAGCGAGCAACTAGCAAGCAAAGATAGAAGTGATTTCGAGGGTATGGTCATCTTGCCTGAGATCCCGCAAGGAAGAAGAACGAGTCCATGAAGAAGACAAACGGACGTAGCCGAATGGGTCCTCACAAACGCGATGTTACCGGATTACCGAGAAGAAGTACACCGGAAAGAAACAAACAACATAGTAAACAACCACGACATGAACATGGCATGATGCACAATCAAGTATGATGCATGTCCGGTTTAATGAAGCATGGCATGGCAAAGTGCACAAACAATCCTATAAATTAAGTGGAGCTCATTATGCAATGGAGTTGCATATTGACGAAACGCCACGACAAGTTATTTAGTTCGATCTCGTTTATGTACCCAACAATATTAAATGTTGTTAAACATGGCAAGAGGGTGAAGCAAAGTAAAACTACCTATCTAGTCAAGGTTAAATGAGGCCGGAAGCAACGAACAACAAATCTGGAAACTCCTCATGTGCGTATATTTAGATTTGGTACTGTTTTGCCCTAAACACAATTTTAGAGTTATTAAACATGCAAAGAGATGCCACCAAGTTAAACTAGGCATTTTTCTACCCCATTTACATATAAAGTTTGTTAAAATTGAAGTTACGGTTATTTAGTTATGAAAGAAAACATTTTAGCAAGTTATTTAAGCAAATTTAAACAAACAACATTTTAAACATCTTAAAACATAGATGAAAGTTGCATATTATTAAGCTAGATGAAATTCTAAGCAAGTTTCATATTAAGTTTGTTTTAATCCGATGCACGGTTGGGGAGTTATAAAATGCATGGAGTTTAGGGGCC